TAAAATGTTTTGTTAAACTGAAACAGTGGTGTCATTGTTCACTTTTAAAAACAAGTTTCAGGCTGGTTTTGGCCCTCCTACCTTCTGTTTTTTCCTTTGAGAGATTTTAGAATTAAGTGCTGTATCTGTTGGATTAGAATATATAAAATTGCTTCTTTTTAATTGCTGTTTTGTAGGTCAAAAACAGATGAATGTCAGCACTGTCAAATGGATCATTTAGTACTACTTTATATTGTTTCCTGCCTGATTTATAAGTATTCTATTAAAATCAGTACCAAACATTGTGGGAAGAAGTAGTTACGAATCGACAAAATTCACATCACGAAGGAACCCAAGCTAATAGGGAAACATACATGGAAATAATTATATTACTAGTTATGGTTGCTTTGTAGAAAACTATGTAAAATGCTGTTGTAATATCTTTTTTTTTTTTTTTTTTTTTTTTGGTTTTTCTCCGGTACCGGGAACCAAACTCACGACCTTGCACTTGCCAGGAAGGCGCTTTGCCGCTGAGCTAAATCCCCAGCCCTGTTGTAATATCTAAGGTTAGGAGAAAGTGGGAAAAGGGTAATATTTCCCCAGAAAAGTGAAAGTTATCCTGTTTATTGTACCCAGATATTTTAGGTGGGAGAAAGATTTGAAGATTGACAGCCATTTAGTTTGTTACTAGGAAGGTGAATGGTAGTTTAAAAACCTTTAACTTGGTTGGTCATCTTATTTGTTGTCAGAGTTTTGTGTCAAGTGCTAGAAATAAATTTTAAAACTAGACACAGGTACAGTCTCAGCTATAGGAACACAGGCAAGAGAATACAATGAAATGTTTTAACAATCTCAGCTATAGGAACACTTTAGGCAAGAGAATAAATGAAATGTTTAAACAGTGTAGTGGTCACTTTTAGTTTAAATGCTTTCAAAGGAACAGAATGGTAGTATATTAGCAACCCTTCCCACAGTGCCATTATTCGCGACCCCTGCAGTAGGCTCCAGTCTCCTGCCTGAGTTATAGTGCACAGTGGGAAAGGAAAAAAAGAGCAAACAACAAAGTAAAGGGGTGCGTAGTATGGATCTGGGATCACCAGTTGCTCTTTAGGAGCAAAAACTAGCTTCTAGAGCTAGCTAGCATTTTATTTCATTTTTTTTTTTTTTTTATTTTTTTTCTCTTTTTGAGACAGGGTCTCGCTATGCAGTTCAGGCTGTCCTTGAGCTCACCTTGTAGCCCAGTCTGGTCTTGAACTTGTAATGATCCTCTGCCTCAGCCTCCTGAGTGCTGGGATTACAGTCATGCCCAGCTCTAGCATTTTATCATCCAGTTGAGGAGAGAGTAGAATGCTTCTGGAACAGCCTAGAGGCAATGGTAGAATGGGCAAGTTTAACATCATAAAGGGGAAAAGCCTGGGTGCTAATCTCATTGACCAAGAGGAAGGTGATTTCTGCATTCCAAGACCAGCCCAACCTGCAGAGGGGCAAGAGAGCCTAGGACATACTATGTCAATTTACAATTTATGGTCCCAAACAGCAGCTACTGAAAATAAATCTTGGGCTGGGTGTGGTGGCTTACACCTGTAATCCCAGCACTCGGGAGGCTGAGGCAGGAGGATCAGAGGCCAGCCTGAATTGCAAAGCGAGACCATGTCTCAAAAAAAAAAAAAAAAGTCTGGGGCTGGGGATTTAGCTCAGCGGCAAAAGCGCCTGCCTGGCAAGCGCAAGGTCGTGAGTTCGGTTCCCGGTACCGGAG